GGGGGGTTGCGGCTTAATGGATCCATGTCGGCTGCGGGATGGGTCCCAGTAGTTGGCCTCAGGGCTGTGTCTTCAGCCTCAGCCCCATCCTGGTTAACTTTTGTTCTTTTTTAAATAATTAAGACACGAAGGCCCACAGACTGTATTTTGCTGACAACTTATGGATGGGAGAAGGAACTAATGCAGTGAGTGACAGAATTGGGGTTCAGAGATGATCTGAGGGAGCTTAAATGCTGGTGGGGGGAAGATGGGCAGACACTGAGGTGCTATTTAATATGGGTAAGAAGTTTAGAAAGTTAAAATTTTAGGTGTAAAAATAGTACTTTGAAAGTAAGAAGTTGGGACTTTTTAAAAAAAAAATTGAATTCCAGTTTGTGTCTATGAAGACCCTAAAGAGTGATGAACACCAGTGTAAGGTTGCTGAGGGAGGAGTGAGAATGTGAACAGCAAGAGCTGCTGAGGCGCTTTAAGCTGGTCAGTACTACTATGTTTCTTACTGAGGGTGATATCTGGAATTTTCTTTATATATTTTTGTCTGCCTTAGAGTCTTAGATTCCAGAAGCTTTAGTGGACCACTAGTCTCCTAATGATGCCTGTCTACAGGTGAAGCAGCAAGCTGAAACAGGAGGGTATGGTAGAGCACTTGCTTAGCGTGTGAGAGGCCCTGGGTTCCAGCCCCAGCATCACAAATAAACAAAACCTTGAATGTCTAGTAAGGTCCTTCTGTCGATGGCACTCGGTAGCCCACCTGTGCGGCTCTGAACTCAGCTCTGAGCACCTTATTTGAAGAGGGCTATTGCAGAATTTAGGACAGAAGATATGCCCAGGGGATGTGACAGCTGTCTTCAGCTAGTCATGGGACGCTGGTGGAAGAGTGAATAGCTTTCTTCTTCAAAAGGGCAGCGTCAGGGCGTAGGTGGAGCGTAGGTGGAACAGTTTTCAGCACAATGGAAGGAAGCCATTTCAACAGTGGGACTGGCTTGTGATGGAGCTGGTTTGGGAGGTCAGCTCCCTACTGGCATTCCAGGATTGCCTACACCTCCACCAGCAGGGTTGTTGTGAAGCCTTTTGTAATGAGGAGACGGACTGTTGATCTCTAAAACCTCTCTGAATTCTTCATGCCATGCCACTGAGGACTTGTGCTAGTGTGGCAACTTTGGTTCAGAAAATGACAGAAGCCTTGCCACTTTCTTATGCCATCTGGGCTAACTTGCTATGCTTCAGGCTCCATGTAAAGTTGAAAGGAGTGGATAGTGTGTAGACCAGTGATGACATGACCAAGGAGAGAGGGACTTAGGTGATGTGACTGCCTCACGTGGAGCTCGCGCACATGAGTGCAGTGAAGGAATCAGACTTTAATGTGCCATCCAGGTGTCAAATTGGTCAGTGCTGCCCTGACAAGCTTTTGGCTGAATAAGGTAAAATGGTTATTTTTTGCTTGAGTTTGCCTGAGATGGAAAAATCAGGAAGTCTGAGACTGAGGCTGAGTTCTTAGATTGCAACTGATTTTTATTTTGCAAGTTTGGCCTCTGTATTGTCATGTGTCTTTTTTGTTCCCTGTTCTTTCATTTCTGCTGTCTTTTGTGCTAAATAGATATTTTCTAATGGGCCACTTTAATCCCCTGGTTGCTTCTTTTACTAAATGCTTTGAGTTTCCTTAATGGTTGTCCTGGGGATTACAATGGCCATCTTAACTTAAAACATCTAGCTTGGATTAATGCCCAGTCAATTCTAAAAGTTTACCAAAACCCTGCTCTGTGCCACTGTGTATTGGTACACTTGGATGGTGTTCACATGTCTCTGAGGCTCTGTTAATTTTCTTCAGATTTTTTCCCTTGGGCTGGATAATCTCAATTGACCACTTTTAAATTTGCAGACTTTTCTGGAAACTTAAGTTTGTTATTATTTTTGGCAGCACTGTAGTTTGAGTTGCTGGTCAAGTGCTCTACCACTTGATCCACACTGCCATCCCTTTCTGCTTTAGTTCAGTTTTTAGTTAGACTCTTCCGCTTTTCCCTGGGGCTCACTGTGGACTGTGGTCCTCAAATTCTGCCTCCCACTTTTCCTGGGGCTCACTGTGGACTGTGGTCTTCAAATTCTGCCTCCCACAGAGCTGGAACTGCAGGCATGTGTATATGTCCAGGTGCTTTTGAGCTAAGGTCTAACATTTTGTCTGGGCTAGCCTTGAACGTCAGTACTCCTGTCTGAACTCCTCACAGAGTTGGGATTACAGTTGTGCACCACCACACCCAGCCCTCAAATTTGCCATTGAATCGTCTCAGTGAATTGTTTGTTTCAGTTACTGTACTTTTTAACTCCAGAACTTCTGCTTGGTTCCTTTAAGAAATAATCTCTATCTCTGTCAGTGTTCTGTCTCTTTATCAGTGTTATTTGCTGAGACGTTGTTTTCATACTTTCCTTTGTTTCTTTAGACATGCTTTTCCTAGTGTTTGAGCATGTTTATAATGGCTGATCTAAAGCCTCTGCTCACTGAGTCCATTGTCTGGATGTCCTCAGGGGCAGTTCCTAATGGCTGCTTTTCCCCCTGTGCGCAGGTCCTACTTTCCAGTTTCTTTGCCTGGCTCATACTTTAATGTTCATAACTGAGCATTTAAGATAACGCAGTGTGGTAACTGTGGGAATTAGATTCTCCCACCTCTGCAGAATTCCTTCTTACTACTTGTTGTCGCTGTGTCTGCTGCCGTTTGTTTAAGTGACTTTCCTGAACCTTCTCTCTATAGACTGTGTTCTTTATTGTGTGTGGCACTGAAGTCCTGCCTGGATAGCTAGTGATCAGATAGAGCCTCCTTCAATGGAGTAGCCACTTAGCCCGGGGGTTTTGCGGGGGCCCTGTTCGGGTTGGGGCCCTCCTTCACTGTCAGAGCTCTGCCTTAGCCTTCACTTTCTGTTTGTGCAGCACTTAGGGCCAGCCAGGCCGAAAGGTGATGCCTTTTCAGGCTTTCCTTGGCACGAGCGCAGTGCTGCACATATATAAGGCTTTCTGACTCCCAGGAACATACTGGCCTTTCAGAGATCTGTGGCCATCCTACTTCCCAGGTTCCCTTTTAAGCTTTGTCAGGATCTTGTTAGTCCCAACTGGAAGTGCCTTGTCGGGGACTTGCAGTGTGATCCTAACACTGAGTGTGTGGAACCAGGGCCCTGGAGATAGGACACAGAGAGCGTGCAGTCAGTCACTCGAGACAAGCTAGCTGCCAGACAGGTCAAATGGGGACAGCTCTTTGGGAAGTGGATTTTGGGGGAGCACTAAATCTACCTGGCTCCTACAATGGCTGCTAAGCTGTTGGTTTTGAAGGCTGTGGAGGAGCTGGAGGAAGAGCTGGGATAAGTGCAAGTTAAAATGACTCTCAGGTCATCGTTCTTACTGAGATTCAGCTATTTTTCTGAACCATGCTTCTTAGACTGTTTCAAGCCTTTAACTAATTCCTAATTTCTTAAAAAGTCGATCATTACCATTTTTGTCAGTGTTCTTGCTGTTTTCATAGGTTTTCATTTCTGCTGTCCAGCAAGTGTTCCCTAAGTCTGCATCAGCTAGGGCCACCTTGAGCAGTGAGGGTGTGCTGGCAAGCAGTGTGCTCTCCCTCTGTCACACTCTCTTTTATTAGCTCTGACTCAGGTCTGAAGTGGTTTGAAAAGAGTGTTAAAGAGCATAGATTCTCACATGTCTCAGTGTTTCAGGAGTGAGGGTCAGCCCTGGATGGCAGCAGGCATGGAGTCCTTGACCCTGCCTGATCAACACATTTGCTGGGTCAGCATCTCGTCTGGCCAGCAGAGTCCAGCTTTTGTAGTCTGGCTTACTGGGTATATTTTCCTGGGATGAAGTAAATCCGTTGTTCCCTAAATCAGGGTTGGAAAACAAAATACTAATAGTATTTCCTCTGGGTACTCTTGGGATTTGAGATTTGGGCCAGACATAACATTAATTTCTGTCTATCACATCTTATATTCATGGTGAACAGCTTGAATGTTCTGTTAAATATTTTTTAAAATCTAGCCATTTAAAATCTAAGCTTTCACATGTAAAACAAGTTGGATTTTTATATAACCAGAAATTTAACTCAATGGATATTCATTTTATTACAGCCTTTCATTTCAGAGGTCATCAGTCCCACATTGCATAAGATGGAAATTCAGCACTGCTGGTAAAAGTAAAGAGATTCTGCTCTGAAAAGCTGTGAGTGTCTGTAGCTGGTCACCATGTCAGAGCATGCATTTTTACATTTCATAGAGCTGTGTATTTCTGTCTCATTTGTTAGATGGCGATATAACCAGGCAGTCTAAAATGTGGCATTACATGTGGTACAACAGTTTTGAAATCTTGAAAGATAAAACTGGAAACATTTGCTGTATTTTTTCCACCTCGGAGTGTTTTATTAATGAGACATTTTATTCTGCCATAAGCCCAGGGCAGTAATCTAGGTGTTGATTGAGTTTTGGATGGCAAGGGGCCTCTCTAATTGCGCAGTCTGACATTTGTGTCGTTTCTGCTGTTGCAGGTCAGCAAGACGTGGAAGGTGATTGCTGAGGATGAGGTGTTGTGGTACCGGCTGTGCCAGCAGGAAGGGCACCTACTGGAGAGCAGCATCTCTGACTACTCGTGCTGGAAGCTCATCTTCCAAGAGTGCCGTGCCAAAGAGCACATGTTACGGACCAACTGGAAGGTGGGCAGTGGCCAGTAGCTTTAGCTGGGGAAGGTAGCCTGCAAGGACACGGGAGTCCAAACCTTCAGATGCAGCCGAGGCTCACTGCCAGAACCGAGGGTGTGCAGTGTGACGAGGGGTCCTTTAGTATTGGCGAGTTGTTGCCCATTTCGTTCTTCTCTGCTGTCAGCCACAGTGCCCGGGAGCGTCCTCCTGCTGTCCACATGGGAGGGCTGAGCCGAGCTGCAAGTTGCTTCCCTGTTGCTGGTTAGGGTTGTTGGAGGCATGTGCACCGCAGCCCCCTTGCACTTCCCTCACCTCCTGGAGGGACGGAGAAGGCAAAGCACTGCCTCACACGAATGCAGTAGGAGCTACGGGAGGGAGACACAAAGATCCGCATGCCGTCTGCGCCTCCCTTGCCTAACCCACTGGCTTGCCGCCCTAGCATTTATCACTTCAAGTCTCTGCAGAAATATTAGATCACAGCTAAGCATTTGCACAGAGCAGCGTTTCTACAGGAGATAACTGTCAGGAAGCAAGTTACCTAGAGCTGTGTGAGGCACGGCAGGTGAGAGTGCATAGCAGCCCTCCTTGCCCACTTGGAGGGAAGGGATAGGACTGTGCTATTGCCTGCAAAGAGCCTGTAAAGGTCAGTCCTAATAGACCTTGAGATGAACAGCTTCTGTGTATTACCGATGGTGACATTGCCTAAAGGTGAGTCCGTCCCTAGTTACCTCATAACCGGATTATGACCCATAGGCTTGATGGGAGCAAGCAGTCCATTCCAGCAGTGTCCTTGTTCGTGTGAGCAGTGTTTCTATCATTTAGGGCTCCTCAACCCCAGCTCTAGTCACATTGGGAAGCTCATTCTGTTTTTGGATGGGGGAGGGAGGGAGCTTCCTATACTTTACAGAATGTCCAGCTGCACCCTTGGGTCTATCCATGGGCTGCCACTAGCATCTCCTCTTTCCAGTGTGACAGCTTAGCTATCTCAGATATTGCCAGAGGTCCCGGGGGAAGGGGGAGGACAAAACTGCCCCTGGTGGAGAACCAGTGATCTAAAGAGAACTAGCATGATGATTCTTTGTTAGGTGTTAAGACACTGACCAAGCAGAGTCACCAGTGGCCCCCTGGTGTCCATTTGCATCCACAGAAGGTAATAAACTAATTTGGCTCATTTGGCGCCTGTACACCTGGTTAGGTCTTGTGATGGACATACATGAGAGGCGGGTGAAAGGTTTGACAAAGAAAGCTGCTCAGACAACCTTGGGGCAGAAAGTAGAGGTGCCACGCGGAAGATTGAGAGTTGAGGTAACTTGGGCCTTTCTGTCCAGGAAGGAGAGATGTCGTTGAGATTTATGAGCATGTCCCCCTGGCTTGAATTCAAGATGTCACACCCTGAGGGAGAGCAGAAACTAAGTTGTTTGCTTCCTCTTTGATGGGAGAGAAAGCCATGAAGGACGTGACACATCCTCACTTGTGCTGGTGCTGGCAGAACTGAAGGTGTTCACAGACCCACCTCATCACAGAAACCTTACAACTACATGCAGCTGCTCTGAACGTCCACTTAATGCTTTTCTGTAACGAGCACAGAACTGCCGCATGTGCTCTGTAAACTGCCAACAGTTGAGTGAACTCCTTAGTAGTGCAGCAGCCTGTGAGGGAGACTGCTATTTGGAGTGTCTTGTGCCCATTTCCTGACACTGAACAATGAGGACTAACGGGTGAGATTTTAAGTGATAACTTTCATTAAATTAATGAAATTCATTAATTTAATTTAATTCATTAAATTAAATGCTATGCTGGAATTCTTACAAAACAGGAAAGACAGCAGTAGGGAGGCCGCTGAACCTTCGCAGTCCCCACAGTCTCATCTCTGCAGTGGACAGAGTGGGGTGACCATAGTAATGCTCTTGCTGCCCTCCCGCAGAGCCTGGCCCGTGCTCAGTGCCCAAGCCTTGTTGGCTCTTGAAGCTCCTAAGTGTTTGCACACAGACACGTTGTCCTATTTGAGGTCAGCATCAGGATGTGTTGGGCAGGCAGTTTGGTTTAGTACCTCCGAGGTCAGTGTCGGGGGGAACCCCAGAGTTCTCAGGTACCTCAGCATAAGGGGATGACCAGCTGCGGTGCATGAACTTACCTAGACCTGCAGTTTGTTTAGCGCTTCCTGGGAATGGGGTTGAGAAAGTGAGGATGGTGCCACACCATGGGTGTTTGTATAAGCTTGTTTTTATCCTGGCGTTCTAGGATTTCTCTACCATTCAAATGCCAGTGTGGGATTGGAGCTCAAGCAAGCAGGGCAACTGCTGCCTGCTGGAAGACTTCTCTTTTTCTTTCAACACCTTTGCACTCAAAAGAGCTCTTCTGTTCTATTCTTGTAACTTTGGCAGTGGCCCTGCTCCGATGACTCACAGGTCTTTCCCCTCACCCCACAGCTCCACTAGCTGGGCAGCTCCTCCTGGATGTGTCCAGTTTTGACCCTCAGCTGTGGACTTGGCCCTTGGACTAAGTTATAACCACTGTACAAACTGTCTTGCCAGTTTCGGGAGCATAACTGCTGAGTAGATAGATGTTCATTGTAGTGGAAGGCTCATCCTCACCTCTTTCCTAATAGTATTATTCAGGAGTGGGCTGAACACTTGCTGCACACTCTATTTCCCATACTGATGGTCTGATGCCAGACCAGCAAAACTGACACTTCATGTCACTTGCTGTTCTTGAATACCTCTATTCACATTTGCTTTTTGGCTTAACTATCTTACTTTTCCCAACCTTTCACATGTAAACAATTTATATCCCTTCAGATTCCCTTTATTTTTATTTTCATAATAATTATTTGGTATGTTTTCTGAATTAATAATTAATGATCATGGTAATTAAAAATCACAAAAAGGCACATAGCGGAAAAAACATCTCCCTCTCTCCTCATGAGCAACCCAAGTTTAGGTTTTCCTTAAGGACCATTTCCAGGAATCCTGACCTTGCAGTCAGAAATGTCTTTTCTTCTCCCTTCCCTTGTCCCAGTCTCTGTCAGTTTTTCATTTTATTCTGAGAGCTCTTTTACGAGCTGTTAACAGATAAAATGTCACTAAATACTTTGTCTTCTCTCAGTTGAACTCTTTAATATACCTCATGTACTTCTAAGATACTTCTGAGTGCCCGTGGATTACCAGCGCCCCAGCATTCCAGTCACCTGTGTGCACGTATTTGGTGATCTCCTTGAGGACAAGGCAAGGATCACCGTTCACACACTCGTTGGTGCCTTTCATGAGTCCAGGATCTTGGACATGCTGACTGTCCCCAGATACCTTGAGTGGGGCGTGTGCAGAAGAAAGTCTCTATGGGATGTAGGGAAGAGCCACGTGCTTTGTCTCCCAGTTGTCCCAACGGCAGCATAAACGGCATCTCTTTTCCTTATGCAGAGTCGCAAAGGTGCGGTGAGCGAGCTGGAACACATTCCTGACGCGGTGCTCTGCGATGTGCATTCTCATGCTGGTGTTGTCATTGCTGGGTAAGCAAAATCATTTCTGCTTAATGCTCTTCCTCTCATGGTCTTTGATTTTTTACGGACTGCCGTGGGAGCACCGTGACCCGGGCCCTCTCAGAGCTGCATGGGGCTGGGAGCTTTCGGTGAGCCTGTGCTCTCAGACATGAGGGCTCTACAGTGCATGCTGAGAAGCCAGTGTGCAGTGGCTGTGTAGCCCATTCGTCTCAATGTGTCTTTCCTGGCTTTCTAACCACTCCTGTGGCATGTTATGCTGTATGTCCATTATGGCAAACAGTTTGTATTTTATGAAGACATAAAAAAGCCAAGCAAGAATAATAAGCGTTGGCACCAATGGGGCCTGTTCTTACTCACTTGCTCTGAAGCCTCTGTGGCCATATATACTCTTCTTTCCCTACCACACAGGACATGTTTGCCGCGTCACTTGTCTGCAGCTAGGCTTCTTCTGTGTCTCTATGGCCAAGAAATTTAATTTTAGCTTCTGCAAATTCCTTTGTCTTCTGATCCTTACTGCTTTCAGAAATTCTTCATGTTTTGCTACAGAGGTACATGCATCTATTTAATGTAGAAGAAAATCAGTTTTCTTTCTGGTTTAGGAAGATGTCTTATACTGTAGTTTCAAACTATAAACTTCAAATTTTATACTTTACAGTCTCAAATTGTATGCCAGAAAGTGGAGACTAGCACCTTTACTTTCTGAGTCTGGATAAGCTTTAGAGTGAGCCATCTCAGGAAGGCTTCCGCCTGCAACAGTCCCCAAACCAGAGCAACCTTGGACTTAACAGTTAACACTTGCCAAGTCGGCTGCTTCTGCTTTTTCGCAAAGCTTCCTTAAGAAGCATTCCTTAAACAGCCCCATTTGAATTGAAACCCCAAACAGATTATCTGAATTTTTTTATGTAAGCCATGCCCATGAAAGATTATTCCTGTTTTAAATAAGATCTGTCCAGGAGGGATTCTTCTTTAGGTTTTGATTATTGGCTACAGTTCCGAGTTCACTTAATGCCTTCTTGAGAGCGATGTAGAACTATTACTTTTAGAAAGATATGGCATTCTGTCCCTCCAGTTATTAGGTGCCTCAGGCTTCTCCCCTCATCGCTGCACCTCAGGGCTCCAGTGTGCAGGGGCTGAGGACCAGTGGTAACCACACAGGTGTTTGTACTCTCCCGGCTTAAAAGGCTGTGCCCGGGGGTAAGGACATGTTGGAGGACAGAATGCTGAAATTGGGCTGACAGAGTCTTGAAAGATTAGAAATAAAGGAGGGACTTTGATCCCAAAAGCCAATTAGGAGTTTATCGGGATGTGGAGCCCCCCTGAAGGAAAGAGAGGCAGGCCAGCTGCGAGTCCTCCTCTCCTGCCCTCCTGTCCCTGGGGTTTGTTCAGCCATACAGAATAGGCAGCACAGAGCCCAGAGAAGCCAGAGTTTGAGGGATCAATAGGATGAAACGTGAGCTGTGGTCAGAGAGGCTCCTCCTGGCCCCTCTCTGAGAGAACCTCAAGTTGATGGCTTTGCATGAGGTCTTCAGTCTTGCTTGTGTGTGGAGCAGCTTGTGTTTATCATTAAAATTTTACCTAGCGGTTACAATGCTTGTTTTCTGGTCAGCTCTTGACTCCCTTTTCATTTGAGCCAGTGGAGTTTGTGGTTACCTCATTCCAATCAATGTTATGTTCTCCATGGAGCTTCTTAAAGAGACAGTGTCACCACCATGTTTTCTCTTCTACTGAGTTTCTTCTTCCTTTTAAAATTTCTTTTATACAAGTGGAATTTGTTCCAGGCTTAGTTTTGTTTAACTATAAACCATTTTTTGCATTTAAGCCTATTAAATTTATTTCATATAATTGGTAGAGAGCAAAGACTTGGAAAAATCTCTTGCCTCTTCCCACCTTTTCTGCTCTCTCTGCAAATGTTCTTGGTTTGGAGCTAGGTTACAAAGGCCCACAGTGACTTTCATTGCAGTTAGACTTACAGTTGACCCAGTCTTGGTCCTTCCTTCCTTTTCAGGTAAAGCCAGAGCACCCCTGATGAACTCACTGACTGATGCTGAGCACCTCCCATGTGGTTCTCACCGCTGTGCTCATCTCAGCTTGTTTGTTCAGAGCTGCTCAGACATGATTCTTTTTGTGTGTGGCAGTACTGATGTTAGAACTCAGGACCTCATGCTTGCTAGGCAGACGGTCTACTAATTGAGGCATGTCCTCAGCCCTTGTTGTGTTGGTTATATTTGAGACAGGGTCTCACTTTAGTCCCGGGCTAGCCTGGACCAGGATCCTCTTATTTGTGCTTCCCTGTAGCTGGGACGACAGGCTTGCTTCACCATGTCCAGCCATTGGTTGAAATGGGGTCTCGCAAGCTCTTTGCCCAGCCTGGTCTCAAACCATGAACCTCTGAATCTGTACATCCCAAGGAACTAGGATTACAGGCTTCAGCCACTCTGCCAGACCAGAAATAATTTGAACTCTGTAGCATATGTGTCTTCCATTAAGCATCTTTTAAAACAAGGAGTAGTACGTGGTATTCCATGAAATGCTCTGTAGTGCTTACACACTGCTTTGTGTAGAGCAAGCACTAAAATTTAATACACACGCCCTCCCCCTCCATGTGTGTACTCCATGTTCTTCCGCAAATTGCAGAAATGCCTGATTTCTCTTGTCCATGCTCTAATCTCATGATTGTTCCAACTTAAAACATCATAGTTTTAAACCTTGCGTGGACTTTTTAGAAGTGATCCAGTTTCAGAGCATCCATTCTGAGTGAGGTGGTGGAGGTCCAGAGCCTGACCCTGACCTTCTGTGACATCCACATACAGTGCCCCCTTGCTCCTCTGAGTTTTTGTCATTACAGTGTCATTCTGGTTTTCCTTTTGTGACACGTGTCTTTTTGTCTAAGAATGGTAGTAAAGCCATGTTATTTTTGCAAAAACATTAGAAAGTGGAGACGAGAAAGCCACCTAAATTTCACCATGTAGCGTAGCTTGCCTCTGACACTGATTTTGGTGTGGGTGGATTGGTTTTCAGTCTGCTTTTCAATACATATTTTTACATAATATAATCATAGCTTATGTTACATTTTTGACCTTTTACTTCACACTAAATTGAGATTTTTTTTCATGTTATGTTATTTTTCATTACTTTCTTTGACTTACTGCAAAATTTCTTGAATAATTATATCCTAATTTCCCCATTCATTCCCCTACTAATGAACATAGTCATTTCCTGTTTTATTATATCGTAACGGAGGTACATTCTGAGGAATGTGTTGATGGGTGATGTCATAGATTGTATGTGCAAAAGCTGAGACAGCTATGATGTCACGTCATATGATCCCATGTGACCACCGTCACATATGCAGTCTGCTCTTGACCGAAATGTGGCTGTGTAGCACGTGCTTGTAATGTGTTTTTTTATGCACAGAAGTTTACACATTTTGCGAATATTTACAAAATATTTACAAATATTCTTTATTTAAAAATTATGAAACATGCCGTTCTAGGGACTTTGAATTTCATGTAAGAGTGTAGGATTAAAGAGTTTTTCCATTATACTGATATTCCTGATTATTTGCCTAGGCTAGGGGCACAGAAGTAGAATTACTGGACATAGTGTAATAAATTTTTATGATTTTTCAGATTAGGAGTGATTTTGGAATGCTTTTATTCTAGGCCTTCAGCTGTTCTTCAGTTTAGCTGTTCAAGACCCCAAACATCCTCAAAGCCTGCTCCTGAATATGTCTCCCTCCTTCCTGTTCGTGCCCACAGAGGTCACTGCTGACTTTCTGGTTGATGTGCCAATGGTCTTTTCCTCTTGAGCCTCTTGGCAGTGTTTGCTCTTACTGGCTGTATCTTTCTTGAAATGGTGGGGTCTTGTATTAAGCATCTGTGTGCCATCAGAGCCTAAGTCCAGTCCCAGGCTCCAGGAAACACAGAGGACAGTGTGTATGGGATGAAGACTTCACACTTTCTTGTGCGCACATCTCTGAGCCTCTTCTGGCCAGGCCACACTGCTTCTCTAGCAGGTACACAGCATCCCAGGAAATGCCTGAGCCAGCAGGAGCTCTGCTCACTGTAACTAGCAGTTCACACAGAACAATGACTGCTTTTCCAGCTGAAATTTCCCATTTCTTGGAGAAAATTTATGTTCAGAAGTCACCAAGCTACAGAGTCAGCCATCTGACTTTTTCTCACAGCTCAGTGTCTGTCTGCATTTTCTGTGTGATAGGGCTGCCCTCCTGAAATGCTGGGGAGGTTTCCTGTGTGTATTTACCTTGTATTCCATGCTTGAGCCATGCTACCAGCCCTTTTGCTTTAGGTGTTATTCCAATAAGGTCTTGCTTTTATACCCAGGCCAGCCTGGACCACTATCCTATTTATGCTCTCCACATAGTTGGGATGATAGGCACAAGAACCCACACCCATCTATTTGTTGAAATGGGGGGCAATGGTGGGGGGTCTCACTAACTTTTTCCCTGGGCTGGCCTTGAACCAGGATCCTCCTGATCCCAAGGAACTAGGATTATAGGCATAAGCCACTGCTCCCAGCTTTAGAGTGTTTTTAAAATTACACTTAAGGCTGGGAGTGCAGCTCAGTGAAAGAGCGTTTGCTTAGCAAGTGAGAGGCATGCTCGGTCCAATCCCCAGCACCAAAGATGAATGAACAAATGAATGATATGTTTATCACTGAGGAAAGATGATAGAAGGGCTATGACAATGGCCTTGTTCCATTTTATGAGATGCTTGGACTGTTCTCCTTTTCCCTAGTCATATTCTGGAAGTCACAGAGTTGTGAACACATGACCTCTTGAGTTCAGAAAGGTTGCAGTGCAAGAACTGAGGCCTGGGGCCAGCTAGAGTGCTGTAAGTAGTGAAGGGGAGCCACCCAGGTAAAACCTGGGAAGCAAGTCAAGCCTGGGGCTCCTTGGAGGCCCTGTGCCAGCTCTGCTGCCATTAAGCTATTAGCTCACCAAAAGCTTTTAGCCGATGCCCAGGAGTATGGTGGTGGTTTGCAATAAA